CCCTCCTTCTCCTGCAGGAGGAGCTGCACAATCCAGACAGTCTGTAGTACCTCCTCCTCCTCCACCTCCACCTCCTCCACCTCCTCCTCTCCCTGGGGTCACTATCCCCCCTCCTCCTCCTCCTCCTCCTCCTCCTCCTCCTCTCCCTCTTCCTGGGGGTCTTGTCCCACCACCACCACCACCACCTCTTCCTGGTGGAATTATGCCTCCTCCTCCACCTCCTCCTCCTCCTCCATTACCAGGACTAGGAGGTCCACCTCCACCCCCACCACCCCCCCCTCTTCCAGGTTGTGGACTTCCACCGCCTCCTCCTCCTCTTCCAGGTTGTGGAGCTCCACCTCCTCCCCCTCCTAGGTTGTGGACCTCCACCTCCTCCCCCACCACCAGGAGTCACCTGTGTCCCCCATGCTCCATCAGGAGCCCTCGGGTCACTGCCGCCTCCTCTGCCGCTAGGACTTTATGCTCTGGGTCTGACTCAGGAGAAGCCCCCCAGGAAGGCTCTGGTAGAACCACCACGGCCCATGAAGCCGCTCTACTGGACCAGGATCCAGTTGCACAGCAAAAAGTAACAACGTTTTCTTTCTAATTAACCATTTATGTTCTGACCAAAGTCTAGTCATGTAGACCAGTTCTGTGGACCGCTCACTCTCACACACCGAAGTCAGTGGGACACAGGGGCTGCTGGTCCACTGCTGCCCCCTGTGGCCAGTTTGTGTCATTAAAGAAAATCTGAACTAATAAGTTCAAACAGTGAAGATAAAATTCTGAGCTAAAATCTCTGAGTTTCCTGATGGACTTTGGTGTGTGTGTGTGGGGGTGGGGGTGACAGGGGGGTCAGGTGGAACTGTTTGTTCAACAGTACTAGATTCTATTTCCTGGTTTCTCAGGGAGGTTAGTTCTTCGTCAGTGTGGGACTCGATCGAGGAGCCCAACGTCGACTTTGAGGAGTTCGTGGAATTGTTCTCAAAAACAGCAGTGAAGGAGAAGAAGCAGCCGCTGTCCGACACCATCACCAAGTCCAAGACCAAACAGGCAGGTGTTCCTCCTGTGTCCACGTGTCTGTCACCTGAACTGCACCAATCATCTGCCTGTCTGCTGAAACCCCGCCTCTGACTCTGCTCCTCTGTAGGTGATGAAGCTCCTCAACAACAAACGTTCTCAGGCCGTGGGAATTCTCATGTCCTCGCTACACCTGGACATGAGGGACATCCAACACGGTGAGTCTTAATCCTGTGACTCAAGTCCAGTGGGCCACTGGTCCAGAACCAGTGTATAAGGAGCAGTCCAGTCCAGGATTCACCCTGGTTTCTTTGTCTCCCAGCCATCCTGAACCTGGACAACTCCGTGGTGGACCTGGAGACCCTTCAGGCTCTGTATGAAAATGTGAGGCCCACGTTTCTCAAACACCAGGAAGTTAAAGTCGACAAGAGTGTGTCTAATCATTTGACCTTGTGACCTTTCTGTGTGTTGTCTCCAGAGAGCCCAGAAGGATGAGCTAGAGAAGATAGAGAAGCACGTGAAGTCAGTGAAAGAGAAGGAGAACCCTAAACCTCTGGACAAGCCTGAGCAGTGAGTTCACCGCTGATGACATCATCAATGGTCAAATATGAACAGAACATTCTACAGAGTAACCTCAGACACCTTTAAAAATACTGGAGAATTTCCCATGATGCTTTATGGTAGCTCTGTTCCTTTTCTGGGTCTTCTGGTTGGAGGTCATGGAGAACATTAGGCCGTAGAGTATGTAGTAAAAGAGCACCTGTGATTGATATGGAGTTCCTCTACAGTACATCTGGTACTGTACTGCAGTAGTACCTCAGGTCATGTCAACAGTATCAGAAGTTTAACATCTTTCAGCTCTTTAGCCCTTACAGTCAATATTTCTTGTTTGTCTTTAGTCGTTTCCAACATTGTCTGCTGTCTCTTCCTTTCTTTATGGTCACGTGGTCATGTGGTCACATGTCAGAATAACATTTAAAGAAGTTTTCATGACCTCAGTACCTTCAGGATCTTCACGGTGTTGATCATGGATTCAGGTCTTGATGGTTCTTCTTCTCTTTCTTCTGGATAAAGGTTCCTCCTCCAGCTCTCTGAGATCCCAAACTTCTCCAGCAGAGTTTTCTGCATCCTCTTCCAGTCAACTTTCTCCGAGTGCATTACCTCCTTGACCAGGAAGCTGGACACGCTTCAGAGAGTGTGTAAGGTGAGTCTGGACCGGACCGTGACCTCCATGGAGCAGGACCAGAACTGGAACCAACACATTCTGTCTCCAACTCTGTAGACTTTACAGGACACTGAGACAGTGAAGCAGGTCCTGGGTCTGGTCCTGGCTTTTGGAAACTTCATGAACGGAGGGAACCGGACCAGAGGCCAAGCTGACGGCTTCACGCTGGACATCCTGCCCAAACTGAAGGATGTGAAGAGTAGTGTGAGTAAAGAGAGACTTTGAGAAGACGGTTTGAAGGTCATGACCTGGTCCCATGAAAATCTGTCTCCCTTGACTGGTCTCTGTCTCTGGTCTCCACCTACAGAACAGTATGAAGAGTCTTCTGTCCTACGTGGTCTCCTACTACCTCAGACACTTTGACGAGGTCAGCGTTTCTGTCTTCTCTTTTCAACTGTGTTTACTGGTCCTCCTGGTCATACTCAGGTGTCTCTCTGTCTGTGTGTGTGTGTGTGTGTGTGTGTGTGTGTGTGTGTGTATAGGATGCTGGCAGGGAGACGTCTGTGTTTCCTCTCCCTGAACCTCATGACGTGTTCCAGGCGTCACAGATGAAGTTTGATGATTTTCAAAAAGACCTAAACAGACTCAGGAAGGACCTGAGAGGTACACACACACACACACACACACACACACCTGACCTTCAGTGGATCTTCTCAGCATCACTCCAGTTCCATCTTTTCCAGCGTGTACGACTGAGGTGGAGAAAGTTTGTAAAGTTTCAGAAGAAGAAAACCTGCAGCCATTCAAGGACATGATGGAGGACTTCCTGTCACAAGGTACCACAGACTTGTCAGCGTGTGGCGCTGTGGGTCAGCATTAACTGAAGGTTCTAAAGTTTTAATCACTGTTCTCGTGTTTATTGTTTTTCAGCTAAAACTGAACTGAAGACCATGGAGGATCAGCTGAGCAGCACGCACACACTGTAGGGACGCATGTCCATGTGTGATAGTTAGACTGTCCCCACCACGGTCCCACAGTCCCAGAGACAGTCAGAGATCTGTAGTGGTCAGACAATGTCCAAGAAGACTTGTTCAGAGTCTGACGACACTCAGGGCCAGGCAGTTCTATAATTTGATCGACTGTTTCCAGATCTCTAACCCTAACCCTGATCCCAGGTGTCTCTGGGACACCGTGGTCCTCAGACTCTCAGCCATCTTTTGACCGTCCATCTCTGTTGGTTTCAGCTTCCTGGAACTCTCGGTGTTCTTCTCTGTGAAGCCAAAATCCGGAGAAAAGGAAGTTTCTCCGAACACCTTCTTCAGTCTGTGGCATGAGTTCACGTCTGATTTCAAGGAGCAGTGGAAGAAGGAGAACAAAGTCATCCTGAAGGAGAGGTGACTCCTGTCTCTCTCTCTCTCTCTCTCTCTCTCTCTCTGTCCCCTCGGTTTAACTGCTGTGTGTTTGCAGGTTGAAGGCAGCCGAGGAGAGTTTCCGTCAGGCCAAGGAAAAAGCTTCCTACAGCGTCAAACCCAAACACGCCTCTGGCATTGTGAGTGTGTACCTCATGTTTGAATTTCAAAGATAAGTTAAAATGACCACAGCTTAAAGTTTGCCTAGAAACAGCTGAAGAAATTCAAAATATAACTTAACTACAGGCTAACTAGAGTATTTCTGAAATGCTACAAACAGCGTAACCTAATAACCCAAATAACGTAAGGCTACCTGAAGATAGCTCAGTTATAGCAGAAATAACTTAAAGTAGTACAAACCAAAATAATGCTAGATGCTAGCCAAATGTTAGCCATGCAACATTCAACATATATAAATAAATAGAAATCCAGAAATAGTTGTATTTCTCCTGTTCAGCAGTATACGTATGAAACAGTACCATTAGAGCAGTTATGACAAAGGTTAAACTAGGGCTAATGCTAACATAACATTCACCCATACTTTAATGTGTGTTCATAGAAAGCCAAGCTCGGCATGAAGATCTGATGTTTGGTGTGTGTTTGAACCTTGTGTGGACACCAGCAACAAGTCTGAGAAGACAGGATGAAGGTGTGCGTCCTCTTCTCTGGACGTCCACTCCGGTTCTTTCATCATTAATGGAAGATGTTTTTTTTTTGTTGCCTTGGTTTGATGTTTCCAGCTGGTACCACAGTCCTGGGACTTTGCTAACACTCTGGTCCAGCACTGCAGGACAGAATACTCCGGGAGCCATCATTATTACATCAACAATCTGGCTCTAGATAATGATGTGTGGGAACAGTGTTAGGAACTTTTGTCCTGACACTGATCTCTTTATGAACTACTACAAGCTCAGCAGGTTCTTCAACATGTGACCAAACTCAGTATTTCCCTCAGCAATGCTGTGTGTCCACCCAGCAAAAGTAGTTTAAAAGTGACCCGTCCCTGGTATCGGTACTATCCAGTGTAGGTACAGATGATGCTCCTGTGGACCTACGTTGGGTCAACATACCTGATCTGACATAGGCCCAGAAGAAGGCTATCATCCTGGCTGAGCCTCATCCTAGTTTTTGACACCTGGATACCTGATGTTGGCCAATGAAAGCCCATAATTCATTGCTCGAGGTGGGCCAAATGACCAGTTTTGCTTCGTGAGAACATTCATGAACAATGCAGTAAATCCTCCATGTGGTCACCATGTGACCATCGAACACCATCGGTATGTTATAGATGCACTCACTCACACACATTTTCACAAACCTGCTTGTGATTGCATCGTCCAATCATGTTCAAGGATCATAATCAAAACCAGAACACATTTTCTGACCTGAACAATTCTGCATACACAAACATACGTATCAGAAGTATTACCAGTTATCCTGTGTTTTTGTGTGTTTGCTGTGAGACGACTGACACGTATCACATGTGTACCTGCAGGTAGAACAAAAGACTGCTTGTATTTGAAGTATAAGGTTGTTGAAAAGAAACACATTTTGTGTTTATCTCACTGACGTCAGACTCTCCTGTTGAAGACAAGAGGCTCAAAAACAGGAAGTGTACTGTGCAATAAATGTTTCTGTAAACATGTACAGGATGAGGATGCATGGGCTGGAGTTCAAGTGTAATTTATGTAAAATAAAGAGCAGGAATTCTGTGTTGTGTGCATTTGAGCTTCACTTAAAGAAAACGCTGACGTTAGTCGACGAAACAGTTACAACTTACAGTAAAGATACAGACGCTCTGCTACTCAGCTGCCTATTAATAAGATGTTTCTACAAACCATTCAATGAAACCATGACATCCTTTGAATGGTAGACTGATTTTACAAATCGTCCTTTCTAAATCAAGTTAAAGCATTTTTCACAAATACAAAAATCTAAAAGAATTCCTAATATCAATATTAATTACTAGTGCATGAAGTCAAATACAGCTCATACAGTGACAGGTGTTCTGGATATTACTATGTTTTATTATGAGTTCTACCATACCGTATTTCAAGTATATTTTTGGTTGCATATTAATATGGGATAGAGATCAACTTAAATGTGGGGAATAAATAAAACTTTACTCAAACAAAGAGTGTCTGCATGTATGAAATCCAACATGGCCGACATGCAGCCTGTCAGTGTTGGGAAAGGACCAGCAAGACATGTTCTAAGCTTTGTTACACTAGTTGTGTGTCTGATTAAACACATGTAGGTGTGAGGTTTGTACATTTAATTAAAGAGAACTAAAGTTTTAATTGTATTGAAAAACGATTAATCTTTGGGCATCAACAAAGGCGAATCACTGTGATATTATTCAGGGGGAAATGGCTGCGTCCGCCATTGCTGCTGTTAATGCTTATTCTTCCACTCACTCAGCCATGTTATGACGTAAGAATCCTATCGCTAAGAAGGTCCTAATTTAAAGAAGGTATCGTGAATTAGCTCACAGCCCCTTCGAAATTCTTTATTATGATAATAATGACAATGGAGTGTCACAAAAACATGGGTAAATGATTATTTATTTTTATTCTTTCCCAAACAGAAAGAAGCAACAAAGTCATGATATCCCTCCGCTGCTGTTGGAGCGTCATCAGTTCCCCGGATGTAAAGTGTCATGGCTGCCGTCGCTGTGGTTCCACAGAGAGGAGAGGGAAGGAAGGCGACTCTTTCTACTCTTTCTGTATGCACGAGAGTGACCGTCACTGTGTTTTAAACCTCTCCACTCGTTTCCGTGATGTCGGACTCGGACTGGGACGCTGCCGCGACTTCCATCGAGTTCATAGTAAGAAACGGGATAATTTTCCGTAACTTTGAATAGCTTGGCGTGGGAGAGTGGGTGGTGGGTGTGGGGGAGAGGGACTGATGAAATAATGTATTACTATTTTTTGCTTTATTAAAAACTAAAAAAGATAGCGGCCTATTTAACTGACATTCGTGGAGCTGTGAAGTTGCCATAGAGAAAGCGTGTTTTTATCTCAGCCTGTTGTTGCTTCAGTTGCTGTGAATGTGTATTTGATGGATCAGCCTTCATTACCGTCACCAATCCACCAATAACAACTACTGTAAAGCTAAACAGTACCAAAAAGTAATGCACAACTGTCAGAAGGAATGAAAAAACTTTTCATTAAATTCTAGTTTTCAAAACATCACTGAATCCTGCCCCAGGTCAAGCTGTGAGTGCAGGTATGGGACCATGGTGATCCCAACTGCAATTGTTATTTTCTAATTCCAAGGACTTTCTCTCAACAATGTACAAAGTCATTTGTTGACAAAAGTGAAGCCTTGGAGAGTGGCTCTAACTGTTTTGGAAGTTAATTTGTATGAAGTGTTCTGTCAAATTCAAAACAACTTTAAATGTTATAATAAATGTTTTGTTTTAAATACCCAACAGAATGTAATGTTGATTTTGAGATAAGATAGTTTTTAAAAGACTGTTGAACAAGTCTGGGCATATAGACAACATTGGTTTTTGCTTTTTACAACTTTTTAACCACATCTGTTTTGAAGGAACTACTTTGGAAGAAAACTCTCATATCATGTTGGCAAAGACACAATATACTTTGAGTAACAATGTTCTAGTTCCAAAAACCCTTATGTGGCTATGGTTTACCAGTGGGCTTAAATAGAAATAACTTGGTGTTAATACTATAAAAAGGTTAATAGTAATAAAAGGGTTGAAGGGGTTTAAAATAATACAACAGTATTTCAGTTTAGACTCTTTAAACTGTAGTAAAAGCTGACATTGCTCATTTGTTATTAATTGCTTGTATTTACAGTGCTAATTACTTCCATTATTATTTGTCATATTTTTTGTTTAGACATTGAGTTAAAAGGATGTAATGTACTTTTCCAACTCAGATTCTTAGTGTTATGATTTTTGTTTATATTCAAATGTTTCTGTTTTAAAACACAACTGTAAGTTTGTTATTTTGTTTGACAGACGACGTGGCAGTGCGACAGGCTTCTCCTCCTCTCAGACCACATTCATTGATGTTTTCCTGACGGGACATAGGTAACAATGTTCAAGTATTCTCCAAAACAAACTAGAACAATCTGAACTTTGATGTTTTTATCTGCTGCTGCTGTGAGACGCCAGCTAAGAAATGACTGCCTGTTGTCAACTAAAAGTCTATTAGAGTGACTTCAAATCTAAACTGTGATGGTCAGCAGCTAGTCTGCACTTCAGTTTGTTTTCCTGCAGAGAATGTGAAAATTCATCTGTGATTATTTTTTATTTCCAGATATCTGCAACTATGGAAGAGGACGACCTCGTCATACCTCACGACTCCACCAAACACTGCAGCTTATCAGTACTAGAGAATGAAAAGGTAACAGACTTTGTGTATAAGAATTTCACAGACGTAACTGACGAGTCGCTCTTCTGTCATGGAGAAGAATCTTCCAACAAGGATCGTGAGAGTTCCCCCCAAAAAACAAGACAAACTCTGGGTAAAGGCCACTGTAAGATCCAACAACAAGGGGCTTTCTTCACCGGGAAGATCCTGAGTTTCGGATGCCTTGTCTGTAAAGATGAGTTCACCTACAGTCCCAACGACCTCCTCAAACATTTCCAAGTGGCTCATGAAGGAACTCTTCCGACGTACCCTTGTGATCTTTGTGGATTTGTCACACATGAGTTTTCTGCTCTTCAACGCCACCGAATAGAGCACAAAAACACCCTTGTTACATGTGAGTTGTGCAATGACGGTGTTCAGTACTCTCTGCTTCTGGTCACCAGACACTACATGATGCGTCACAGTCAGAATGGACACTTTAAGTGTGATTGGTGTGACTTTACGACCAAGGACGCTGGGACGTTCGTTCAGCACCTCCATCATCACAACGAGAACCACTGGAGGTGTCTGAAATGCAGACACATCAGCCTGAGTGAGGATGATCATCAGAAGCACATCAAAGCCCACTCAGGTGTTTTTCCCTTCAGGTGTCTGGTCTGTGGATTTGGTGCTGTGAGGAACGAGGACCTGAAAAAACACATGGCAGCTGTTCACAAACAGATGGTGGAGAGGAGACCCCTGAAGACCTTTGAAGACGGTGGCCTCTCCACATCATCAGCACTCAAACTAATGCTGAAAAAGAGTGGACATTTCCAGGATACCCAGAAAATATCAAATTCAAACTGCCTTCCTGGGATTTTACCAAACCAGAACGGCAGGTTAGTTCACGAGGAGCAGTTCGTTGAGGAGTACCAGCACTCTGTTGATGGAACTGTGTCTAAAAACAATGGTTCTCATATCAGCGATCAGTCCACCTCTGTCATGTTACAGGACGCTGATGTCTCTGCAAGTTCCGATGCTGTGAATCACAAAAACCCAAATGGACTCACGGTTCTGATGCTAAAAAACAAAATCTCTATTCCTCCCAACTGTACGACCAAAGTGATGGGATTCAAAATGGTCGATGGCAAAAAGCACTTGGTTCTCAAAGTCATTCAATCAGGAAAATCAGATTCAAAAGTGTCAGCTGAGGAACTGTCTCCCAGTACCGATCACAGTAACGACTCCATTGAGAATGGGGACTGTTTGGATCATCGCAGTTCTACACCACCTTCTAAAAAACCCCATTTCTGTTCACCTATGGATCCAGATGACATTGTGGCAGTGAAGGTTAAGATGGAGGAAGAAGAAACAGCCGTCTGTAACCTGGATGTAGCCTCCATTCACAGTACCGAGGGCCAAAATGATCATTGGCACAAAATGTCTTCAAATGGTTCAGATTCCATGACAAATGACAACATTGTCCACCACGTTCATTTAAGTCAAACAGTGAGGTCAGAGAAAAGTAGGTTTGATGACTCTGATCCAGTCCCGCACAACGCTGGTACTACATCACTTTGTTCTGATTCAGAAGTTGGAGTTGTTGAGGAAACAGAAGTCTCCAAATCTGTGTTAACACTGACCGACGCAGACTCAGAAAATCACAGAAGTTTTTCCTTTCATAATTATCACCAGGTTTGTCATAGTTCCCCAGAAAGTACTTATGAGCTCAGCTTTAAGAGTAAAGATAGAAACGGTGAGCAAAACTCAACCGAGCCGTCCAGTTTCAACCCGGCTCTTCTCAGAGAACGGGTGGTGAGCTCTGAGAACCTCACTCAGAGTTCTGCTAACCAGGACGTCTTCACCTTTCATAACTACTCCAAGGACAAGTGTGGGTCTTCACTCCCCACCCTTCTTAGCTTTAACAAAACATTGAAACCTTCAGCTGACAGGGAAAGTACATGTGAGGTCTCAAAGGTTAGTCTCACACACACAGACCCGCCAGAACCGCTCACACAAAACACTTTAGAAGAACCGTGTCAGAACACCCCAGATGCTACAGAGCAGGAGTCTGGCAGCCATGACAGTGAGGAATTATCTAGTGTTTATGATCCTTTAACTGAGGATGACAACTTTGACTTAGTGCTCCAGGAATTTAACATAATCAAAGTTGAGGACGACTGCGTTCCTATATCCAAAAATATACCCGAGACTAAAAGTAATGTAACGTCCTTTGGTTCTGTCGTAGAAAAACATTCGGAGGCAATCATTTCCCAACAACTGGACACTGAAAGGTTAAAATGTTCAAACTCTAGCGGAGAATCTTTAAAACAAACCAAAACAACTCTAAGAATTCTTCAACTGCCCGATGGTAAGAAACCAGTTCTCCTGAGGACTTCAGAGAACCGACTGGCCGTGCCAGTGCAGGTCAAGTCAACTCCTGGATTCAAATTGTTGACAAACTCTGCACACCCTCAGATCAATGTGTCCTACTTGAAACCTGGGGTAGAAACATTAACTAGCCAAAGTAGTGTAACTCTAAAACCCAGTAGCACTTTAGCAGTGTCCAGTCCAAAGGCAGGCACTGCGGTCAAAGGGACTACTCTTTATTCTCCTGTCCCACCAGGAATCAGTTCCTCCTCAAGTCAGTACTTCATCAACAGTCCAACAGGTTTAAAGGGCCCAGTGCTCCTGTCAAGTACTCCACAGAATACACAAAAAGACAAATCTGTAAAGACCCAACCTACCTGTTACTTGTTACAGAAGTCTGTTCCAGCCGTCCCCTCCCCTAGTACTCCTGCCCTCAGATTAGCCAGTACTCCCCTCTCACTGAACTCCAGGCCTGTTCTTGCCATGCCAGTCAACTCTGCAGACAAATCCAGGACACTGCAGTCGGGCCGACAGGCTTTCCTGCTCCGCTACATCTCCCCGCCTAAACCTGGCGCTGTTCTGAACAACCAGGTCACAAAGGCAGGGACACATCAGTTCAGTCAGAGCATGGAGAACACGTCAAACAAAGTCATATTTAAGTTGGTTACTCCTACAAGTAGCCTTCTGCAAAGTGGTGCTCCCCTCAACAGTCAGCCTTTGTTGTTGGCCACCAGACCTCAGACCCAGTGTTTTCTGGTGGCACCAAACAAAGCTCACGTTAATGCCTCCAATGGAGTCGGCAAACTTATCTCTGTCCAAAAAGATGTCAAGGAACCTTCTCAGATGAATGTAAAGGTGCAGTCATGTGACGCAGAGAAGCCAATGTTAGCGCCACGGTCCATCCGACCGCCAAGCCAAAGGAAACGACGCAGGAAAGCCTTGTTTGATGACGAATACCCAACAACGGGACATAAAGTCAGGAGACTCTCCAACAGAGCAGCCAGTGAAAAAGAGGCAGTGCTTCTATGGAGGCCTGTGGCCAAAGAGGTGGAGCGGACCCTGCGCCTGGCACCCTTCAGCTCTCTGCAGCAGGTCAAATGTCCTCGCAGGTACCAGCCTGTGGTGGTGCTCAACCATCCAGATGCCGACATCCCAGAGGTGGCCAACATCATGAAGGTGGTCCACAGACACAGAGGTTCTGTTAGCAAGGTCTCCTTGTCTCAGAGAACTGTTCAAGCACTGGCTGAACTCGGTGCTCCAGGGACAAGCTGTTCTACCAAAGTCGGGTCTTCTCAAAGAGAGGGTCTGAGATCTCGTCCAGTTCAGAGTTCGGTCAGAGAACGGTTCCTTCTGAAAATGATGTTGAGGAAAAAAAGCAGAAAGAAATATGAGGTAGTAGAACCGAGCGGTGGGCGGAACTGTGTGGTGTTTGACTGTTGGTTCTGTGGTCGTCTCTTCAACAGTCAGGAGGACTGGATTGGACATGGTCAGAGACACCTGATGGAGGCCACTAGAGACTGGAACAAACTTTTTTAGACCACTGCGTCCTGGACGGTGGGACAAAAAGATAGAAGTTGTATATTTTTAAAGACTGAACATTTATGAAAGTTGGTTTACTATGTCAGGACACGTTCTCATGTCAATCAAAGTTTTATCTTTTCACAAAGGTGCTTATTCTTGTCAAGTAGCTAGTGCTAACATGACTTCTAAGCTAGCTGCACAGGTCACTCTGAGCTGTGACTCTGGTACACTGTAACTGAGAAGCACTGCTTTTATAAGGGGAGGGGTCAATAATGGAGGAGGTTCAGATACTCAGGTGATTTCACATTCATTTGATATTTTTAAACACAGTCACACAAACCAGACTCTGTTTAGTTAAAGGGACTTTTGTATATTTTGTTAGAAAACTGTACAGTAAAACTTTTATGGTTGTTTTTTTTTTTGTGATAGAAGATTATTCTGTACAAATGATTCCTTTATATATATGTGTGTGTGTGTGTATGTATATACAAAGATACACATAGATGTATGTATGTATGTGTGTGTATATATATATATATTTATATATATATATATACATACATATATATATATTTGTATGTGTATATATGTATATGTATGTATTTGAGTTGACACCATCATCAGGAGAGGAGTTGATCAACCTGCCATGTTTACCTGTTCTACAGCCCACACTTTCTTCTTCTTTTTCTACTGATTAGTTTGGCAGCTCGCCAGTATGATTATATATATATATATATGTGTGTATATATATATTTATTAGGGATGTCCGATATTAAGTTTTTGCTAATATCTGATATGCCAATATTGTCCAAACACTTAATTTCCGATTCCGATATCAACCGATATACCAACATAGGCCTGGTAATATTTATTTATTTATCTGTACAAAGCACTGTATTAGTATGAGATTATTAAATGACTTGCAATGCTGCCATCTAGTGACTTTCACTGTAATATACAGCCGTTTATCCCTAAGTCCTTCTCCCATTATTTTTAGGGCACACATCATTTGGCGAAACCCAGGCATTGTGTTATCGGGTTTTCATTGTTGAGGAAGAATTGATAACAATTCTTACAGATATTCCATAATATGCTAATATTGGGCCGGTATTATCAGACATCACTAATATATATACATATATACATATATACATATATATATATGTGTGTGTGTGTGTGTCAGTGATAGGAGTATATTTTCCTGTCATCAGGTGTTTGTCTTTTTCAGGCTCAAACCTTTGACCTTCTTCACAGTGACCAGATTTTCCAGGTTCATTAGGTTGGTAGGACACAATTTACTGACGGACAGACCCACGTTGGTCTCATAGCAGCTAGGTTGAAGACACGTCACCCCCGTCCACTGATTTATATCTGGATGAATGAGCACGAACCAGTTCCGTGGACCCAGCAGAACCAGACTGAACCCTTTGGTCCAGAGTGACTGGTGGAGGTCTTGTTGCAGACATATACCTGATGATGGGGGTAAATATATTCTGATGTCATCTTTGTTACAGAGGTCCGCCAACTAGATCTTGTTTAGGAACATTTGGTAACCTGTACAGAACTATTTGGAGACTCACTGGTCCAGAACCTGGAACTTCAAACTATGCAACTTTGTCAATCATGAAATCTTTAAAATCATGCCTCACTTTGATAACAATGAACCTCAAATTGAAGGTTCCACCAGCTTGGCTCTGAGGATGTTAATAGTTTCTCCTGATCATCTTATTCAAAACGCCCCCTAGAGGTTGTTTTGTAGTACCACATGTATGTATTGTTATTCGCTCCTAAAGGTCCCGTTTTTTCACCGAGAGATTTCTTCAAATCTCTGGCTCTGGAAGTTTGAAATGTTTACTCCATCTGTTTGAGATAAGTCTGTATGTACGTGTGTGTGTATGTGTGTGTGTCCATGCGCGTGTGTTAAATGAGATCTTATCTGTGAAATGTTCAACAACAACAAGGTCCAAATACATTGTCTTTATGGACTTAGTACTTTAATAGAGTCTGAGTTTGATTTGAAGTTACAGTACTACAGTTATGCACTTCCCTGACAACATGATTGACAGAAGAAGGTCAAAGTGAAGAAGTCCTCCTTTTATTTAGACCGTGGACCTGGTCTGTGTGGTTCAGGTCAGTCTGCCAGTCCCTGCACTGGAACCTAATTATAGGACGTACAACAGATTAACAGATAACAGAAGTACCGATTTGAAGCTGTCCGATTCTGTTCCGTTTTAACTCCAAACTCCCAGTGCTCACGTTACCCCCCCGCCCCCCCCCAACAAATCTTGTTTTTAACCTGTGTCAGTCGAAGATGTGGTGTTGGTTCTGGAGACCTGTAGATTCTTCTGACTTTAAGCCTTCAGTTGAGAACCAAACCCTCTTTTTAGAGAAAGTCACTTTTATATTTAAAAAATTGTGTTTCTGTGTTGATGAACGTGGCTAACTGATCTGTGACAAAATCCTCAAGGAAGTCACATGGTATTAGTACCATTTTAAATGTCATTGTGTCCAATCATTGGTTCCTTTGAACTGAGCAGGTACCTGAAGCCGAACTACGTGCTGTTTGGTCAGTCTTGTCTGTCGACCTGCTTTTTTCTACTGAAAATACAAAAATATATTTTAAAAAATATGGATACCAGACTAAACATCCTAATCAGGTTCTCACATCCTGGCACGCAGCTCACTTCCCACCATGGTCCACTCACATGTGGTCTACGAGTAGATTTTAACGATGTTTTCTGGTCCTTGTGGTTAATCTTTTGGCCCTCCAATGAGAGGGCAGCGTTGGCCCCTGGAGTATTTTAGTTTGACACCCCTGTTCTAAATGGTTCTACTCCACATCGGTCCCAGTCAAGGGCTCAGAGAAAAGTGTTGTAATCTGTTGGTCAAAGGTCACAGTCCGTTTGAGTCCTGGTCAGCTCTGAATGCTGACCGGATGAAGTGTCATTTGATTGGCTGTTGAATCCGTTTCCTGTTAAGTGCCTCCAACTTCCTGTGTCAGGTGGACACCTGTGTACTGTACTGTACTGTACTGTTCTGTTCTGTTCTGTACTGTCTGACTGAGTGGCCCACTCTCCTCCAATAAATGTACATATGATTCACACGGTGCCTTGATTTGTCTATGTGGGTCTGACCAGTCTGAACAAACCATGAACCTGGTGGCAGATGTTAGTGCAGCTCCTGGTCTGGTGGTCCAGATCCATATTCTGACTTCTGTTCCCTTAGCTAACACTGGCTGAACTAAATATTAGCTAACCCCTTGGCTAAATGAAAAGTGGTAGTTAATTAATATTATATAAGTGAAACGGTTACAGTAACTAGTACTTTCTTATTACTCTGTGGAGAACTGATGGCTTAGGACTTGAGACTTTTACAGAACGCTGGATTCATTTCTGGACCGTCATTCCACAATGCGTCCACATGAGGGCAGCACTCGGCTGTATTGTGCTCCCTTCCTCTCTGATTGTTACTCATCTCTTATTTGTATTTGTTCTTTTGTAGCTTGATGTCACAGTACTGTGGAGGATCAGGATCAGTCTTCAACTGTTTTGATGATGATGATGATGATGATGATAATTTCAGGGCAGGACCGTTGGTCCCAGGCTGCTCATCTTTTCAGTGCCAATGGTTGCTGGTTCCAAACCCAGACAAATGGAGAAAATTGAGGCGCAGGGTAAAAAGAAGTGCCCCAAGAAGCAGCTATAGATTATTCACTGTAGAGTAGGGGGCTGTTCTACCGGACCCTGTGTCTGTGCACTTGTCATGTGACCAGGTGCAGGTCAATAGGTCACTGCACTCAGGTCTTCAGGCTTTCGTCAGTATGTTAAATAGGTCACGTTCATGTCAGGACAAATCTGCCTAATGTTTCTGACTGGTCTGCTGCTGAACTGGTTCAGGCCTGTGGCTGTGTGGGGGAGGGTAGGGGGAGGAGAGGGGATGGGCTGTGAGAGGAGGAGGGAGAAGATGAGCAGTCTTGTTTCTTAGAGATGTACAAACCATCACAGGAGGACATTTAGGACTTCCCAGAGTTCAGTGGATATTGTTTCTGTCTTACAACAAGAAGGTCACTGGTTCAATCCCTGGCTCTAGCTGCTGGTCTTCTGTGTGTGTACAGCAGTGGTGGTCTCATCATGTGACCCCTGTGGTGAACTGGTGAAGGTCATTAGTATTAAAGGAGCCAAATGTCCACGTGTTGGACTGTCTGTCAGTCAAACTTTATTTTCTACAGTGAACTTTTCACACACGTCAAATAATCACATTAAAATAGTCGACACACTTCTATAAAGTTACACTGGACCTGGGGTGAAAAACAGGAAATGAAGTCACCAAACTCTGTGAGGCTTCTTTACTCAGTGAGTACTGCAGTACCTGACCCGTGCAGGTGAATCACAGTAGAGCTTTGTTTATAGTGCATATACAACATCTGCTCTGACTTTGTTGCCTGGTGGTCAGTGTCACCAACAGCAGGACAACAACAGTCGTTGAAGTTGACAACCTCCAACAAGGGAGTGGTGACAGGAAGAGAGAGAGAGGGTGACACTCTGTAGAGCCTCCTGGAACATTGAGGTCCTTGAGGACCTAGTCCAGGCCTTGATTGTCTGTTTCATCACTTTGTGTGTAGAGCATCAGACCATGTGACCACGATGTGTCGCAGGTACAGTGGAAGGACTGGAACTGTTTTAAATGTTCTTGGAGACAGTCAAAGAGTTGTAAAAAGTGGACTACAGAAGTTCTTCATCTAGAGAGTCCAGGGTCAGGGTCAGGGTTGGAGTCCTGGCCTCAGTAGTTACAGATGCAGCGCTCAGAAAATCTCTAGGTATTTTTTTAAGGTTAGAGTTAAAAAATATTTTCATTTTTTTGGTTTGATTGGTCAGTTAGCATTTAGCAGAAAGTGAAGGTTTTTTTACTAACTAACTTCTCTTTGTTGGCCACAGACTTTGACTGGGAGTAAAGTCTGTCTGTGAAGATGTTCAGGTCAGTCTGAAATCCTGAGATGTAGTGACTTTGATGCTACAACATTGAGGGTGTGTGATGTCACTGTCCTCCTCACAGTAGGTAGTTTTCATGCTCTAGCTGCAGGTTTGTGCTTTGACACACACTGTCTTCGTCTTGTCACCCGCTCTGGGTGGACGACGTTAAACATTTGTCATGTTAGTGCAATATTTGTCGTTGGGCAGCTGACGTCCGACACATTTTGGTACAAAACCTTATAACAAAGACAGTAGTGAATGTAAAACTCCACCCATCAAATATTAAAGTGTAAATACAAGGTCATGTTTGAAACACGAACACACCACGGCTGACTGTACCAGTTCATGCACAGCTGCACACAGAAACGCACACATGCTCACGCTACATTAAACCAAGGACGGGATGTAAAAACCATTTCAATGATCTGTGCCAGGTGTAGTACCAACAGGGGCCAACAGGGGTCCTGATAATTCTAGCTGAAATTGTCAGTTTCTTTGGAAACAGGAGGTGGAGTCTAGTACCAGTCCTGAAAACTAGGACATGTTACTGTGTGTATATATATATATATACATATATATATATATATATTTATGTGTGTGTATATATATACACACATGCGTCATCTTCAACACCTATATTCACTGTTTTTATAAACTAGTAAATCTTAAATTCACACTTATAGCTAAAGTGCCAGGATAAGCCAATGTATTTAAAGGTGGATTGAAAGGTGGGATCAGTGTGGGTTTGTCTACAGGGTCCATCTAGGACTTAGGCAAACCGCCGATTTCTAGGTAAATTGCATGAATATGAACTTGGCCGTGCAGGTTTACTCCCCAGACTTTGAAAAAAGTCTTTAGTCTGTTTTTTCTGCTAAAGGGGAAATAGGTGATAACTAGTTTGACTTTCTTTTTTTTAACCTCCTGCAGTGAAAGGTCGTTAGCTTTGGTTCCATCTCGTAAACTAAGACTTGTTCCAGGAAGGTTCTCTGGTTATGGGCGTCACGGTGGTGTGTCAGGCAAGGAATGCTGACTAGAGGTGGATCAACGGTCTTACACGAGTCTGTGTGGTCCAGACTGTAGGAGACTGAGGAGCAGGGCTACCAACCGATACAAGCTATGAAATACTGTAACTGTACAACTGAAGCTTTGGAACAAATAATTTTACAGCTGATTTGTTTCACCTAAAGACTCTTCAGTCATAAAGGGATTTCAGGCCCTGGGGATTCAAGGTCCCACTGGAAGATTCCTCCAAAGATTAGGAGCACATCTAAAGGCAGTGAAAACCATGTACTCCCTGAAGGAGCCACTTGAAGGAGAGCTCCGTTGTGGTACAACCTAGAACCTTTTGAAAACTACACAGAGGTTTCATTCTTCCAAGGACCAGTCCTGATGTTTCTAGAAACATCTAAACCGTAGAAGTTGTCCTCCTGCAGACTCCTGTTTCTGGTGATGGTGTCTCGCAGGCTCACGGCTCCGTGACGTCGAGGAAGAGTGTTTCTTGGGAAGCCTTTCTGCTCCACATCAACAGAGAGGGTGTACTTGTCTTTTGCAGGAGTCTTTGGTGTGCAGCTGTAGGAATCAGGTTCTTGTCGATACTGAGAAGTGTAGGGTTCAAGTTGGTCATAACAACAACCTGGGCTGGAAGAAGGATCTCCTGAACTACACATGCTCCACTGGCAGGTGTGGACTGCATGAGCTGGCAGGTGCAGGCTGTGGCAGGAAGTGATGCGGTCGACCACGTCTGGTGAATGGTTTTGGCAGGAGGGCTTTGAGTCCTGCACGCTGTGGCAGGAAGTCTGCCTCTGCAGGGTGTGGCAGGAACCTGTACTGGTAAAGGGAAGTTTCAGGTCTGGGTGTGGGCTTTTGGACCTTTGAAGACGGTGTACAGGAATGTCCACATGGGGGCTCTGCACACAGCCATCCATACTGACAGAGTTCAAGTGAGTGCGAAAGTCCTGCAGGCATGGGCGAGGACGGCTGAAGGAGTGGGACTTTGCTCTGTCCACGAGGCAGCTCTGCAGAGGCAGGACAGGACGAGGGAGTTCTTCAGGTAGAGGCTGTGGACATGGTGAGGACGTTGGCTCTTTAAGAGGTACGACTGGACTTATCACAGCTACGCAGCACGGACCTGTGCTTGGGGAAGGTGGAGCCACCTTGTGGTAAGAACTCTGCAGAAGCTGTGGAGAGTGCTGTTTTCCTGAGTATGGAGAGCCCAGGTGAGAATGGCTCTGATGGACAACCTGTGTACGACTCTGTCCACCTCCATCCTTATCCTCTGACTTGGACTTGGACTTGGATGGACAACAGGCCCACCAACGGTGCCACACGTCGTCCCGTTTGGCACAGTGCTGGATGAGGAGGAATAATCCTAGACTGACACAAAACGCCCCGTACAGGCAGCTAAAGATCATGTCCAGCAGGGGTCCCTGTGACACCGCCAGGCCTCCTAAAGCCCAGGTAGAAAGGTAGAGGAAAAGAGTGAAGGCTGTGGCCCGGAGCTGAGACTTGAACGATTGCTCATTGGCCAACATGGAAACACCCGCAGCAAACGCTGAACCGTCTCCAACAGGCTCTGACGCTGGTCCAGCCTCTGTGCAGCAGTACTGGTTGGAGTCACAGGACGACAACCGCTGCTCCTCACTCACAACACGCAGCTCGTACTTCCTCTCTGGGTGGCGTTTGAGCTGGATGTAGGTGCTGAGGAAGTACACGGACATCACCAGGACCAGAACAGCCACTGGGCTGTAGAAACCTCCCAGGCTTGGTTCCCACGCCATCCAACAACTGGGACAGATACAAACACAGATGTTGGGGAACGGATTAGCTCAGAACACTGGACACAGAGGTGGGGGTTGGAGTCGGAGCGATGGTCTACTTACTACAGAGTGTTGGCGCTGCTCCCATAGTTGTCCAGACCAAAGGCTGCGGTCACGCCAACAATTATGAGAGGAATTCCATCACTGATGAGATAAAATCTGCAGAACAAGTCACATGGTTACTACTTCTACACCACTATAAAGGCCTCGAAGAACCAGCAGACAGGACCACGCCTTAATTTGACCCTCTGTTTGTAAAGTTCACCTGAGGATGGTTGGTTCACTTCGGGGCTTGGTCGGACCGTTCCTGTTCTGGGCCTGTAGGGCGTCTTTGGACACATCGTGGCAGATGTTCCTGGCAGTGAACATCAGCCACAGCATGCTGGACAGAGAAGAGTAATGGAGAACCACACCCACCTAGACAGATACACAAGAGGGAAGGAAGTAACTTTCTCTGTGTCAACAGCTGAGGACAGAAGTCCAAGGTCCAACCCAGTCAGGACTTACACTCTGACACACCAGTGGAAGGTGGATCTGGTTGATGCCTCCAGCAAAAACTGCGAATGTGAGTCCAGTGTGGAAGAGGAAGTTGAGGAGGATGTGCCAGCCCTTCCTGTTGATGCGGATCACACTGTAATAGAGAGCGTGGTCATGAATAAGTCCATGTTGATGTTGTCAGTTTGAAGATTTTATTTAGTTTAGAAAAAACTTCTGTTTTGAAAGTGTCTGCGTTTGTTTTGAAAAAGGTTTACCAGCTGAATGTCAGGACAGAGTGAGGACAGGCTACGTCTCTGTGGCGTCTTTCTGTTTCTGTCTGTTATACTGGGCTGAGTGGGTGTTTTAGATGTCTGAGGTGGACTGTGCACGGTGCCACAGTCGGTACTGGTTACTGTGTTTGAGGCTAGTCTGAGCCCTGTGGCTCCAGTCCAGTAATAATAATAATAATAATAATTATTATTATTATTATTAAGGTTAGCTTGTTAGCTTGAACATTAGCCTAAGTCAACCTGAACCTTTTTGATGTCGTGTACACGTTGAAGTGAAGGAACGTGTTCATCATACAGCCACAGACGTGACCAGTACTGATCCATTAACCGACCTGTGGTGGACCATGTAGGTGACCATGGAGACCAGAAGACAGAGCAGCATGACTGCAGTGCAGGCGTAAACCACTGGGTGGAGGTAGTTCCCGGGATATGGAAGGAAAGACAAGACTTTCTTCAAATCCTGTAGAAGAAACAGGATATTATCATTACTGTACCAGCAGTCGTCAGGTGGTGGCGCAATCACCTTTCCTCCCTTCCCCCCCTCCCCCCTGCCCCCCCCCCTCCTCCTCTCTCCTCTGACATGTCAGGCCTTTGGCTTTGAGAGACACTGTCACGTCTCTCCCTCTCGTCTCCGTCTCTGCGGGGCTTCAACATCACGTTCCAGTGAACAGGGTCCAGTGGCAGAGCTGACTGATTCACTCCCTGCTGCAGATCCAGAGAAATCAAGTGGAAAACACAGGAACGCAGGCCTGGGCGGCAGCAGCAGCAGCAGCAGCAGCAGCAGCAGCAGCAGCAGCAGCAGAGATCACTGCTCTCCACTTTACTCTGAGTCACATGATCAAGTGAGTACAGTAGATGGAAGTATTACTCTGTGAATACTCTTAAACCAGTAGCAAGTAGCAGAAATTACACGAGTTCTTTTACACTGAAGTGTTGACTTCAAAGTCTGACCGTTTTTGCTCAGTTATTTATTATTTTAAACTGTAACCTTTTATCCTTTGCACTTTTTTGTGCTTATTTTTTGCACATCCTTTGTTGCCAAGATTTTTTTTCCTGTCAATCATGTTTCCTTCAGACTCCTTACCTGCACCCATTTCTTTCTATTGCTATTATTCGTAGCATTCGTTAGCATTAGCATTCATATTGGTTCTATTATTAACCATCTTCTTCAGAGTGGTAAAAACACCATGTGGCCACACAGACCATCTGCACACACTGGCAGCCACGACACCCCCTCCCGCCCCCCCCAACCCTGCAACACACACACACACACCATAACAATAATTATAATAATGATAACAATGCAGTTCTCCCTGTGTTTTCCATTAGAAAAATGACAAATCACGAAGGTAAGAAGAAGAAGGTGTGGGTTCACCAGTGGAGATCTTTGACTGTGGGTTCACTGTGATTCACTTCTCCTTCTCTCTCTCTGTCGCTGTCATCATTTATTCATCAGCTCTCAGCAGAAAAATAAACATACTGCACTTGAAGGTCACATGCACATGAACAGACAGATAAGTGGAATAAAACTGCAACATTCAGACAGTCAGAAAAAAAACAAAATAACAGTGGAGTCAATGGTTCTGACTGTAGGTTCTGACTGTAGGTGAACAATGAGAGACGAATGAAACGGAATGATTTAAAAATGAATCTTTATTGTTGAAACTGAAATAATGTTTTTAATGACAACAACAAAAAATCAACAGAAAGAACAGGGTTGAGACAGACAGTGAGTACTACTAACACTACTACTACAGTGGGTACTACTGTCACCAGTACTACAGCTTCAGCAATGGATACTACCCCTAGTTGTACTAGCACTGCCACCAATAGTACAACACTACCATTACTAGTATTACTACTAACCCTGCCGACACCAGTACTGCTCCTCCCACCATTCCTTTAAAGATAGTACCAACAGTACTAATATGAAAGTACCAGCACCACCAATACTGCAACTTTTACCAATACTGTACAACTGTTACTACTTCTTCAGCCAGTACATGTCCTCTACTTAATCAATTCTATTAGCATTACTAATACTAACAAATACAAATAGTACTGTCTCCCAGTACTACACTACCAATGCCATAAAAACTACAGCACTATCACATATTAGACGTTCTTAAAAACTCTTACATCAGTAGCAATCTGTACTTCAGCATTGAATATTGCACTACTACTAGTACTACTAGTACTACCACTAATAATAATAATAATTATAATATAATAGTAGTAATAATAATAAACTCACCATGAGCTTCCGTGGAGTAAATGCTTCACTTGTGAATCCCTGCTCTTTTCTCTCTCTTACTCGCAGGCGCCCCCTGCTGAAACGCTCTCTACCCTGCACCCTGAGGTTCCATGGATCCGTGGACGTGGTTTTTACTGGGTCTTGTTCTGGTTCAGAGTTCGGTCTGATCGTATGACTGGACGCCGGTTCTGTTCTTGCAGCTGCGTGGCTGCAGAGTCAGCAGTGATGATTCCAACTTCCTCACCTCCTCCTGCTCCTCCTCCTGCTCCAGGAGCTGCAGAGGAGAAACACCACGCTCTACATCTGCTCTCCAGCTGTGGGCGACACGCGTGCGTGGGCGCTGCTCGACTTCACGCACAGTAAGTGATGTGGCTCCTGCGGTGACGACACGAGAGTCGGAGGAGCGGAGGAGGAGGGGAAGGACCGCGCATCATCCATCATCACTGTTCCGAAGCTGCGAGGACGCGCGTCTTCAGCGCGTGCGTGCTCACGTAGAGAACCAGGGAGGAGAGAGAATCAGCTGGGTGGAGGAGGAGGAAGAGGGGGAGGAGGAGGAGGAGATGACGAGTCTGGATGTGATGAGGAGCAAAGAGTGGAAAACACATTAGATCTAATGAGGTTAAAGCAGGAGAGTTGGTCACGACCACACGCCACGAGTGTCCACGGAGAACACGAGGAACTGTTTCTCACGGGGACTCACGGGGTTCCTGGTCCCCTGCTGCCCCCATCACTAAGTTCTAAAGACTTTTTTTTAGACTTCGGCTGTAAAAACGATTTTTTAAATGTAAATCATTGACTCAAACTAACCACTGGAGGCAGCAGTGGAGCAGCGCCCCTTGTGTCAGTTTTCTCTGTGGACTCCGTGTGGGAGGAAGAGTGCTTCACACGCTTCAAGCCCTGTCGGAAAAAAACACAACATAACCGTCATTCCAAGTTAATGAAACTATTAAATTAAACTTCCAACCTTTAAAATATAGGCACTTCCTGGCTGTTGCTATGACAACCACACCACCGACAACAACATGTCTGCTGAGGTGAAACCTCCAAAGGAGGAGAACGACGTCAGTCACAAGGTAATAGACACGAACATTAGATGAGTACGTAGTGGTGTGTGTGTGTGTGTGTGTGTGTGTGTGACGCAGGTCACAGGTTAGTTCACGCTCATCATAAAATGAGTTAATTCAGATGACGTTCTTTTCTCCTCTCGTGTTTTCTGTATCAAACAGGTTTATGTCACAAATGGAAATACTGTGTTATACTGCTTTTATTAAACACCCTCAGTCTCGCGGACTTAAAATACTTAAGTTAATTAATACATAAAACTACAATGGAAAGAACGCTGAGGAAAACCGTACCGTGAGGCACCGGAGGGGGCAGACGTGAGTCCAACAGGTGGTTGTTGCTGTAGTTTGTCTGTTGTCTCACTTTTTAAGCGAAACAACAGAAAAACAACAACGACTGTCATGGTAACAGTAATAATAATCAACATAAGGCCCGCGGTGGTGGAGGACAGACCTGAAAGGAAAGGAAGGAACGTTCTTGAAAGAACAAGACGTAACTTTGAACCTTATTTGTTAAAACGGGATCGTTACGTTATTAGAACCTAGAAAGATTTTCTTTAAATAAAATCCTTTTCAGAAATGAAGCAGCCAACTATGGACTGTATTTAACTTAGTCAAATGTGTTCGTCTGTTCGGGACCGTGTTGTGAACGTTATGACTAATGTCTGAAGAAATCTGATCTGTTTAATAAAACGAAAACAATCCTTATTAACCATTAACAACCAACCAAGTCTGACACTTCAATATCCTTCACTTTATTAAACTTAAAAACAGATATTAGTGTTTTTATTAAACAGATCAGACTTGACCAAATAGCCTGTGTTTGATTAGTGAAATATAATTATTGTCTTTAGGAAACGCTGCGCTAATGTAGAGTTTTTAACAGTTTTATGGAACTACTGCGATAAAATCAGTCAGGTGTAAATGTTCACCGATGATCTTAGTGTGTCTCAGAGTATTTTAGGATATCATTTCTTCAGGTTCAACGAAGTTCCTGGATAAACAACCTACACGGAACTTCCTGGCGCCTGGAACCCAAACGGGTTTTAAGGTTATTAGTTAGTTGGTGACACGACCACATGCCCTGGAAAAGTTCTGTTTCTTTGTGACAAAAACCTGCTTGAAAATGTGAAGAGCTCTCAAATGGAACAGAGCTTAACTCTGATTGGTCAACATGAGCGGTTGTCAGATTACCTGTGGGCTGTTTGGAAGCACTACACTGGATTGGCCTTCATTTTGTCAAACCAACAGACCCAGAACCCCACCCCACCTGTGGTACCGGTTCTACTGGGGGGCTCTGACTGGATGCCTGCGTTTGTCGTCTGACTCTCCACGGCTGTCACTTTCCGGCCGTTGCGTCATTACCTGCTTCAAACGTTACCTTTCCTTGTCCTCCTCTGAGACGTTCATGATGTTCCTCTACTACTTTGTCTTCTTGGTCCATTAAAAGGTCTCCGTCGGCGTCTACCCCTCCTCTTCTTCATCACTGTCATTATCACCGTCGTACTCAATAGTGGCGTCCTGGTACTGCTGGTACTCGGACACCAGGTCGTTCATGTTGCTCTCAGCTTCTGTGAATTCCATCTCGTCCATGCCTTCGCCCATGTACCAGTGGAGGAAGGCCTTCCGACGGAACATGGCGGTGAACTGTTCTGAGATGCGTCGGAACAGTTCCTGAATGGCTGTGGTGTTCCCAATGAAGGTGGAAGACATTTTCAGACCTCGGGGGGGGATGTCACAGACGGCCGTCTTCACGTTGTTGGGGATCCACTCCACAAAGTACCTGCTCATCTTGTTCTGCACGTTGAGCATCTGCTCGTCCACCTCCTTCATGGACATTCGTCCTCGGAAGATGGCTGCCACCGTGAGGTAACGTCCATGTCGTGGGTCACAGGCCGCCATCATGTTCTTGGCATCAAACATTTGGTGGGTGAGTTCGGGAACTGTTAGAGCCCTGTACTGTTGGCTCCCCCTGCTGGTCAGGGGGGCAAATCCTGGCATGAAGAAGTGCAGCCTGGGGAAGGGCACCATGTTGACGGCCAGTTTCCTCAGGTCAGCGTTGAGCTGACCGGGAAAGCGCAGGCAGGTGGTCACACCACTCATGGTGGCCGAGACCAGGTGATTAAGGTCGCCGTAGCACGGTGTGTTGAGTTTGAGCGTGCGGAAGCAGATGTCGTACAGGGCCTCGTTATCGATGCAGAAGGTCTGGTCGGTGTTCTCCACCAGCTGGTGGACGGACAGGGTGGCGTTGTAGGGCTCCACCACCGTGTCTGACACTTTTGGTGAGGGCACTACGCTGAAGGTGGTCATGATCCGGTCGGGATATTCCTCTCGGATTTTACTGATGAGCAGGGTTCCCATACCGGATCCAGTTCCTCCTCCCAGAGAGTGAGTGAGCTGGAAGCCCTGCAGACAGTCACAACCCTCGGCCTCCTTCCTGACCACGTCCAGGACACACTCCACCAGTTCGGCTCCCTCGGTGTAGTGACCTTTGGCCCAGTTATTTCCCGCTCCTGTTTGACCAAAGACAAAGTTGTCTGGTCTGAAGAGCTGGCCCATGGGACCAGACCTCACTGAGTCCATGGTTCCTGGCTCCAGATCTATCAGCACAGCTCGGGGAACATACTTCCCCCCGGCTACCTCGTTGTAGTACACGTTGATCCGTTCCAGCTGCAGCTTGCTGTCCCCGCAGTACGTTCCTGATGCGTCGATGCCGTGTTCGTCACTAATCACCTCCCAGAACTTGGCTCCGATCTGGTTTCCACACTGGCCTGCCTGCATGTGCACGATTTCCCTCATAGTGGTTCAATACTTCAGTCCTCCTGACCACAGAGGAGAAAGACCAGGTCTTCACCGCAGCAGGACTCAAGCCACAGGCTGGCACGAGTGTTTGCTGTAGTCTTTAGTGCTCAGTCTCCAGGTGGGTTTGGTTTCAGGTATTAGTTCAGGTAGAACAAAAAAATCAACTCTACTTTGTCTGTGATTCTGTTGGATCTGTTGACATGTAAATGAAAGATGAAAGGAGTCAAAGATGACATCATGGCTTACTGTGATGTCACTTCCTGTCTGTCTTTACTGTTGTTGCTCCTGTGGTGACTGTTGTCAGTGTAAAATGTCTCGTCAAAAGAAGCAGAAGAAAAAGGAGGTCCAGGTGACGTACATGCTGTGGTCAGTCATTGGTGTCAGGGAGGTCATGTGACCCTGTAATGATCAGTGATGTTCTCTTGGTAGAAAGGAGACTTCCTGCAGTGGCAGTATGACCCCCCACCGCACCGACGCATCACAAAGCTGCTGCCGCGCAGCGTGGAGGAGCAGGAGGAGTGAGTAGCCACATGCTAACCACGGTAGAATAGTGTACGTGTTTTTAATGCGGTGACTGTGTGACACCTACAGTGAGCTGATGAAAATCCTGGACTTCACGAACCACGGCACCTGTATGAAGGAGGACATTCTCCTGGACCTGTACCTCTGTGCCTTCCTCTGGGCCAAAGAGGAGAATTTAACCCCCACCCAGATCTCCTTCATCATGGCTCTGCTGCAGATGCTGCTGGACAACATTCAAGGTTCTACTGCAGAACCCAACTGCTACTGATCTAACTACTGCAGAGCTAGTGCCAACTAACTGACACCAACTGACAGACCTACATGACCTCTGACCTGACCTCTGACCTGTGTAGCTAACTGAATGGCTCCCTGCCTTTCCTCTTGAGTTTTCTGGGTTTTTCTTTCAGAAAAACACTTGAGTCTTGTAGACAACATGGTGGAGTTCGCTAAGGCGTTAGCTGCTGCCTGTCAGACATCAGAGGACGATGGACTTCTGGACGGAGAAGAGGCCAAAGATCTCACCAGCTACGTCACGAACAAGTGCGAGTCTAATGTGAACTATTCTTAGTTAGAACTGTAGGAATACTGAACCGTGTTCTCCCGTGTTCTACAGTGTGTTCCTAAAGTACAGTCTCTTCGAGTTCCTCTTGAACACGGACCAAGCTCAGTTTGTGTGCAGTGAAGAGGTGAGACATCCTGAGAACCTGAGTAGTTCCGTCTTCCCTTCTTCCAACAGTAATGTCTCTGATCGTTCTTTCCTCAGAAAACCATTGAGGTTCTATATTGTCCAGATACTCTCACCCCTCTGGAGGAAGGAATCCCTCTCACTACGTATCAGCAACTTTTGGATGAGACCCAGGAGGAGACCCAGGAGGAGACCCCAGAGACCGACACCGAGGAGGAAACCCAGGACACCGAGACCCAGGAGGAAACCTTGGAGACTGACAGTCAGTGACATGTGGTCCTCAACAGGTCCCAGTCCATTTATGGGATTCGTACAGATTGGGGATTGGCTTGAAAGACTAAGACCGGACCAGGAAAAGATTCAGAGGTGGATTCTTGGACTGGGTGTGGCTGTTGGTTTGACAGTCATAATCAGATGGTCTTTAAATTCACTCTCATTACAGTGTTAAATAAACATGTTTATTAGCAACACGTTGTCTTAATGTTGTCATCTTATACCACCCAGTGGTCACAGTGAGAACAACAGTGTCTTCCTGTCTGGTGTCAGAGGAGGCAGCCTCCTGTGAGCCCACCCCCGTGTGTGCAGGGTTGCTGTGTGATGCCTCTGGTTCCCTCTGTCGACCACAGATGTAATTTCACACTAAGTGTCTGTGAACTTTTTATTTTCTCAGGATGTCTTTAGTAACGATGGTTCTGATTGGTTCACCAGCTTTAGGTTCCGTTTTGACCCGTCTCTCCGTGTTTGTCCATCTGCAGCCTCTCAGTCAGTGATAACCGTCACTACATGTTTTATTAAAGAGGCTTCTGTCACAGCTGAATCTCCAACCACATGAACCATCTATCTCTCCGACTGTTTCTCCCTGCAGCTGGTTTTCAACCAAAGCCTGGGTCGTGTCTAAGGACCAGGTTGAGGAACCTCGGTTAACAGCAGGTTTGTAACTGCGTTGACGTGACTTAAAAACATCGTATCTTCAGTTGACAGAAATACAGGAAAACATGAAGGAAGACAGCCCCTGTACTGACACTCATATACAATATGAAATACAAATAAAACTACAGGAATAGAAGAATGTGTGTGTGTGTGTCTTATAATTGTTATTGTATAGTAGTACTGCTGACGGCTTCAACAATATCATCTGTGCCCCTGGCAGTAGCACAATGAGGTTGAGACGTTACCCGTTTTTCAATCAGTTTTATCATTTAAAAAAAATCGTTTTTTTTATCTAAAGAGTTTTTTATTACTGTACCACCAAGGTAGTCTGGCGGAGGGAAAGGGTTTGATGTGGTTGTTCGGTTTTTGGTCTGATTTGAGACAGGTAAGGTCTCAACCTTTAATCATTTTGCTACTGTTTAAATCTGTGTGGCTAAAGCTAAGTTCGCAACTGCACAGCGTCAATGCTGCGTTTATATCTCTCATGACTGCCATTCGCAGACGGTCGTGCTCATTTATGTTAGTAGAGGGCGACAAAGTGCAAAAATGTTTTAGAAGATTTTTAGCAATGAACAGAGGCAGATTTAAACCTGCGATCTTTCACTCAGAAGACTAACTCTGACCACTAGAACACTACATTAAGTCACTATTATTAACAATAAAATCAGTTAAATGTTACACTTTTGATGAATTTTTGATTCTTTCCTTTATTCTCATTTTATTTTCCACACAACTGGATCCAAAAATCTCTTATATCATTCCTCAGAGACAACACAAATCGTAACAAACAAAATATGGATCCATCTGTTTGCTTAAAGAAATGCTAAAAGTATCATACCTGCGTAAAAAAGTTTAAAAAAATAGTCGTGGATTCATGAAAACATCATCAGTGTGTGTTCTCTCCAGGTTTTCCAGCTTCACAGCGCTGCATGCTGGGATTTGCTCTAGCACCGCTCACCACCCTGAAAAGGTTTAATAATAATAATAATAATAATAATAATAATAATAATAATAATAATAATAATAATAATAATAATAATAATAATAATAATAATAATAATAATACATCATCAACGATGATGTGGCTGTGTTCAGATGTTTCTCTATTTCACCACAAGATGGCGCTGTGGGCCAGTAGGTAGTACAGTTGTGGTAGTGTACACGTCGTCCCATGATTTTAGACCAGAGGTTTCACGGTGTCATAAATGTTAATAATTAATTATTATAACTAACTTCTGCCACGTCACGTTATTGGATATAGTCAATAACCTTACTCTGAATTGTTCTTATTTTTATTGGTCTATTTTCTCTTTCCCCAATTACATTTTGCCACGTATTGAATGTATCCTGTTTTACTGCGTCGTTCCTGCTGCTGTAACTGTGGATTTAACCCAGTGTGGGATCAATTAAGTCGTATTTTATCTTGTCTTTTCTTGTCTTGTAGCGCTGCTGTTAATAACAGTAGGTGAAGGAAACCTACAAAACCTATGAAAGAACAACCCGAGCACCGCGTTAAACCCGCTCTTTGTATTTTTAACAAAAAATAAAGAACTGTTAACCGATCTTCGTGATGACAGCGGTGTTTCATACGCAACTTAATTCGGGCAGTGACAGCTTTTAACTCGATTTCGAACATGCAGCCTCGTACAGCCTGTAACTTCGCTCTAATGAATTTTGTCTAAGTAGAGTTGCCGTTATTAGCTGTCCAAGATGGCGCCCATTTGGCGCATGCGTAAACGGCAGCGACGCGGCTCGGGACAGATGACAAAGGCTGCGAACAGTCACAACAATGGATTAAAAGCCCTAAGATGGAGGGTAAATAGAAGCAGGTTTATTTCACAACCCACCGCACCCTGAGGTTTGTTTGGTTCGAGAAAAAAAACAAATGTCTTGCGTGTTGTTTTATAATTGGACGTTTTTGTCTATATCTACACCTGTTAGCTGCACCCCTGGACACTCAGGACTTTGTTGTTTTCCGTTTTTATCATGTGTCACCTACAGCTAAAAACACTGCTTTTTGTTGCGTGGGTCGTGGGCTACGTGGCTTTTCTGTTGTCGGCCAGGAGGATGTGGAGCGGGAAGTATGCGAGGAGTCCACTCGTCCGGTCGCTCGTTGCCAACATGATGAGCGATAACGATGCGGCCGCTGCAGACACACAGGTAGGACCGAGAGGTGACTGAGTACGTGTGTTTTATACTGCTGGTTAGTTCGGACTAACGTGTCAGAGAGTCCTCGGCAAAATACCAAAGTTTCTTAGAATGGTTAACGTTTTTAAATGGAGTTTAACGTTCTACTAACGTTCAAACCAACACCGTCTTCGGTAATTTGACCTGTTATAGACGGAGTAGACTCTCCTGTTGTGCTGAGCCGGGATCAGTCGGCACATCAACTACTGACATAAAGACTTTAATCAGTAACTTTTGAAACTGACTTTTGTGTTCTGTATTTTAAAAACAAACGAACCCTAACCCTTTACGTAGCTCTAACATACTGAGGTCAATCATAATAAAGTGATGGAGGCAGCGGTGGATCAACAGCTGCTGACCTTTCAAATTAAAAGAGCTCTTCTTCTGTATGGAGGTTGGCCAGAGAGAGTATTTAAGATATTCTAAATCTAAATGTTACTCACTGATGGGACTGTTTTTTGCTCTCCAGTGGTACCGATGCTCTCCAGAACTACTGGGAGATTCTGTGCGACCTCTGTTCATCCAGAGTCACCTGGACTCTGGTACCAAAGCTTTTCTGAAGCATAGTGTGGAAAAGTCCAGCTGGGTGTTAACTCAGCTCTACCACTCCTTTGTCTCCACCGTCCTCAGCCCTGTGGTGTCACGCACCTCCATCAACGGGTCAGTATTTATGACAACACACACACACACAAACCTGTACATCTCCACATTTCTGTGTTTTCTGTGTCTTCAGGTTCCTGGGCCGAGGCTCCATGTTTGTGTTTTCAGTTGAACAGTTCCAACAGCTGCTTGGCATTAACCCAGAGTGGAGAGCAGAGAGACTCCTGGACCTGGGGGCTGGTGATGGAGGGGTCACAGAAGTAATGGGAGGTCATTTCAGAGAGGTCTATACAACCGAGGTCTCCTTGTCCATGAAGTGGCATCTTCAGAAAAGGAACTACAAGTGAGTCGGACAGGAAACAAACCAAATGTCAATCACCAAACAATGTCTTTTACCAAATAAAAGTTCAACCTCTGCCACAAAATAGAGAACAGATAACCATTACTCAGAGACAGCTAACAGTTAGCTGCAATGTAGCTGTAATATCACTGAAAGTAACACCATTCAAAAGAAAATAGCTTTGCCAAAAAAGTACTTGTTTATTAGTATTAGCGTAAGTAAGCTGAAAATGTGGCAAATTAGCTTAAAAGATAGCCTAAATTAGCTAACTGCTAACGAGCTAGCAGGAGAAAACACTGTTACCTTATCAATCCTTAACAGATGTTTGTGTTTGTTTACTTTGCCTCATTGTGTCTGTGTCTCAGAGTTCTGGACATTGACGAGTGGCAGAGAACGGGCTTCCAGTATGACATCATCAGCTGTCTGAACCTTCTGGACCGGTGTGACGATCCTCTGCTGCTGCTGCAGGACATCAGAGACGCACTGGTTCCTCACACTGGGAGACTCATCCTGGCTGCTGTGCTGCCGTTCCAGCCTTATGTGGAAGTGGGTGAGTCTGTGTCCATGTCAGGGCGGTCAGTGCTCCTGTCCTACAGCAGGAAGGTCACTGGTTCAATCCCCCACTGCTGTATGAAGTTCACCTGTTCTGTGTGTGTGTGTGTGTGTGTGCGCGCGTGCGTGTGTGGGAGAGAGAGTGAGTATATAAAAGTACATATGTGAAGAGATGAACGAGTGAACGACTTCCTGCTTACAGTAGAAATGTGTCAACAATAATCTTTGACTAAATTCCATCTGTTGAACAAAGATCTTTTTATTATGTATATTTGTAAACTTTATTACTTTTTAAACCATTGTTTAGTTCATGGCTAACCTTTAGCCATCATCTAATACAAGAACCTGCTACTTCGTGTGTGATACATTTAGGCATTTACAGTCATGTGTGTGACATGTAACAAAATGGCCGTTCCTTCATGATGTGGTACGTGTAGGTTGTGTCAGCTGCAGTAGCCCAGGTGGACCGTTCCCTCTAAGGTCGTGGTGTCGTTGTTGATCTAATCCACTCTTTATTGACCTTTCAACAGGAGGTCAGTGGCAGCGTCCCAAACACCATCTCAGAGTCCAAGGAAAGACGTGGGAGGAGCAGGTCACCCACCTGTCCGAGGAGGTGTTCAGGGGGGCGGGGTTTGAGGTGGAGGCGGTGACGCGGCTGCCGTATCTGTGCGAGGGTGACATGTACAACGACTACTATGTTTTGGACGACGCTGTTTTTGTCCTCAAAGCCTCCATCAACCCTGGAGAGTCAGCAGAGTGAGAAACAGACTGGACAGATGTTCACTCACCAGAGTGATCCATGAATGTCTGCTCAGGTTTTTCTACTTCCGACATGGATTTCTGACAAGAACTGCTGACAAGTTAAAGTCCAAACCTCTAACACAAATCATCTGAGATGGTGTTGAAATCATTTTTATTTGTTTACACTGTTGATGATCTCTGTGACCGACCTTAGGAACAAACATATGGACCAGATGTGATTGAACTCACGTGACTGATGGAATCAGAGCTACTGTGTAAATGGGACATTTTTATTGTGAAACTGTGTCTGTGGTTCAAACAGCAGATACACAGGTAGATTGACAGCAGCAGAGCCATGACAGTATTATTGTTTCATGTTCTAAACGTTCCATACTTCTGCTGTCAAGTGTTACTTTGGTGCTACACTTTAAACAGTATTTGTACCAACAGAAGGTATCTGAGACTAGTTTGGACCTGCTGTGTTTACATGTCGATCACAGCTGCTGTAGTGTACTTCATGAAATGTATTTTAAAGGTTTTTAAATAATTGGAAAAAAGTGCTTCAAAATGTTTGAAAACTGCTGCCGTTACTAATGAAGCAAATATTGTAACTCTGTGACGCAAAGTTTCACTTAAAAAATAAAGAAGTCCATAAAACGTATAGTTTAAATATTAAATTAGAGGGTGGGATTTCCAACATTTGTTTTTGACCACAAATGCATCGCCTGTGTGTAAGACTTGTTATTGGCTGAGGGCCTTAGCGTTGCTTGCTTCTGATTGGTCAACTCTGTGCTCTGCCACTTCCCGGAGCCACGTCGCGCTTCACTCGCCATTTTCACCGTTCCAGAGAAGCCGGGTTCGGTCTGCTTAGCTCTCCTGTGCCGGTGTCACACTTCAGTACCGCGGGTCTGATTAAGAACCGAAGCCGGACCAAGAGCGGATTTTTTACGGACGTGGTGAAGGCCCATAAGAGGAGAGAAGATGAACATCTTTAGGCTCACTGGTGACCTGTCCCACTTGGCAGCCATCATCATTCTGCTGATGAAGATCTGGAAAACCAGGTCCTGTGCCGGTGAGTAATTCAAACAAGTCCGCACACAAATTCTCTGGTGTGCACTGTACATGTTTTCATTTAACCCGAAATGAAAAGAAGCTGCCAGGACTTTGTGTTTTCGTGTTTATGGTCATTAGCTGCCCCAGGCTATCGCTATCCTACTAGTTAGCCCCGCTAGCAGATGCAGCGAGAGGCTCTCGAACTAAAAATATTTTTTAATGATGGCATTTATTACTACATTTACCAAATTGTTATGAAGTAAGATATTTTAAATACCCAACGCGATGTTCTAAAAGTTCAGTTAGCTATAGTTTTGTTTGGCAGCTGTTAGCAGTGTTAGCTTTAACAGAGCAACTGCGGAGAATTGGCTCTAATAAACCCACTGTCCATTCTAAACATTGACTTCGTCACACGGGAGGCTCGACACTTTGATGTCTGACGACCAGCTGAACCAGTTTGGTTCTGTGTGTTTTGCCAGACATGACGTTGTTGACGTGTGTGACGTGGCATCACCTCCACCGTTACCTGTCAGACTCTTGTTTTCCTTGTCGAACCTCCACAGTGACGTATTGATACATTAATCAGATCAGATCGATGCCAGCATGAAATACCGTCTGTCCTGATCTACAGGGCTGCTAATGACACCGTGTGTAGAAACATCAGTAAAACCTCAGACTCGTCTCACTCTGCAGGTTTCTGTGAAGCTGTTTCCTGTTCAGGTCCAGGTGGTTTAACTGCTACTGTGAAGAAAAATAATAACGACATTGTAGTGAACTGTATCGAAATGGTCCAAACATAATAAATAACTGTCTAACTAAATCAGTCTAAAACTCTAGCCCTGGTGCTGGCCAGACGAACACATATCTGTAATTATTAGCTATATAATTAGCTTGTTAGCTCTACAATATCATTAGCATCAAATCACTGCTTTAAGTGAACACTGCTGTTGGTCATGCTTCACTCACTCATTTCAGTTAAAATGATCATTTCAACTACAATCTTGTCCATTCATGTTTAACTCAGTAAAACATCCAGAGTCCAAACTGAGTCAAACTTCAACTTTGGTGGACAAACAGGTCACACACACACTGTCAACGTATTGTGTGTAAAACAGAGTTCTCTGTTTAACTGCTGTGTAGAAGAGATTATTTTTAATCGTCTGTCATTTTGTAGTGACTTTTTCCCCAGAGATTGCAGTTTAAAATTAATTTTCTAAAGTTCAAAGGTCAAAGGTTCAACTCTGTGGTACTGTTAGTGTTGTAAAAGTTCTGTCAGAGGTTAGCTACAGGAAGAGCTCGAGTCAGTTCTGAAGGAGCTTCAGTTCCTTCGTCACCGTGGAACCGAGTCAGAACACTCATACAAGTACTTCGAGTTCACACAGACTCATCAAACAATAACAAATAACAGCAGCCTGGGGTTTGAAGTATGGACAAAATTGTCCTTGGGAAAAGAAAAGAAAAGAAGAATGTTTGAATCTGTGGGATTCCTGAGGAGTAACAGCGCTCTCTGCTGTCTGGTGACAGGTATTTCTGGGAAGAGTCAAGTTTTGTTTGCTCTGGTCTTCACCACTCGGTATCTGGACCTGCTCACGTCCTTCATCTCTCTGTACAACACCACCATGAAGGTCAGAGCACACACACGCACACACACACACAGACATGGTCAAAGCAGACACACCTGTGTTTGCTGAAGGACCAGTTCTGTTTGAACATGATTAGAGACCAGCCCTCCAGGACACTGGTCTTCCTCATCCTCACACCTTTTCTTCCTCTTCCTCCCCCTCCTCCTTATCCTCCTCCCTCAGGTCATCTACATCGGCTGTGCATACGCCACCGTCTACCTGATTTATGTCAAATTCAAGGCCACCTACGATGGAAACCATGACACCTTCAGAGTGGAGTTTCTGGTGGTTCCTGTCGGGGGTCTGGCCTTCCTGGTCAACCATGACTTCTCTCCACTGGAGGTCAGACTTCACTCCTTTACTGTATGTTCCTCTCAGAAAACCTTTGTAAAAATCTCTTCTCCTTGTCTCTTCCCTCTGTCCCTCAGATCCTCTGGACCTTCTCCATCTACCTGGAGTCTGTGGCCATCTTACCTCAGCTCTTCATGATCAGTAAGACAGGAGAAGCGGAGACCATCACCACTCACTATCTGTTCTTCCTGGGCCTGTACCGAGCTCTGTACCTCATCAACTGGATCTGGAGGTTCTACTTTGAGAGCTTCTTCGACATGATCGCCATTGTGGCTGGAGTGGTGCAGACCATCCTCTACTGTGACTTCTTCTACCTGTATGTCACAAAAGGTGAGAGCTGCTGCTGTTCTCTACCACACGACCCACGGGCAGAGGGCAGGACATGAAGACTGTCCTGGTGGGCATGACTGGGTCTCTGGACAGACTTTGGACCAACCTTATAACTTGCTGAAGGAGTTATTAGTTTGTTATCAGTAATCATCTCCACACTGACTCCAGTCCCTGACCAATCGATTTTGAATCAACCTTCTTCTTCCTGTTTCTGTTTCAGTTCTGAAAGGAAAGAAGTTGAGTCTTCCTGCCTAAGCAACCGTGGAGGACGAGAAACGTTCTGGCCAATCAGACGCAGGGCGAGAAAATTGGAGGGGAGGCGGAGTCTGAGTGGACACAAAAGACACCCTGGCTGCGCCTAGCACCAACTGACCACCACCTCCTCGTCCCCTCCCACTCCTCCTCTCCTCCAGAGTAAGATGCCTGAGACAGAGAGCGACCGCAGCATCTGGACTCCACTGCCTCTGGATTTCTGTTTGATGCATCTTACTTTAACTGTTGTTTTTTTTTTATTTCTCTGAATGAAAGAAGGAAAAAGAAAATTTTCTACTTTAACAAAAGGATTAGTTGAGTGTGAGCTGAAGGTACAGACGACCTGTGACCTGATGGGGACGTTACTCACTTTGTACCAATATTGGAAAAGAGAAGTCAAATCTGTTTGTTTGTTTGTTTGAATTCTCACAAAGTTAAAATTCAGTCTCTTTTCCAAAGCCCTCATTTCAACGGGAAGTAGAAAAGGAAACAATGTGAATGTTAATGAACGGCTTGGTGATGAGACGATTGTCCTCAGTTACCAAGGTGACAGTACAACAATGAAGCATCATCACTGTAAATAACTGTTGTTCATGTATAATCACCACACCCCCGCCCTGTCACTCCACTTCAGCAGTTCATCTGAAAACATCAGGAGATGTCATGTGACCTCACACATGGATTCTTTCTTTTCCCTCACACTTTCAGATGTATTTATTTTTTATCTTCCTGGTTTCCAATAAACAAAGAATAATTGAAGAATTTGTTCAGCTGTTGTGTTTTTTTTAACTCTTCACTGACAACAGAACATTGAGCTAATATGATGCAACATGAAAGTGAACTACCTGTCATTGTGACAGCACAACACTGCACACAAACAAATGTGACCTCTGCATTTTACCCATCACCAAAGTGAGCAGGGAGCAGCTCAAGGTTGTAGTGTGTGGGGACAGTACCATGCTCAAGTGGGGGCTTGTGGATTCAAACCTGAAACCTTGCCGACCTAAGTCCACTTCCTTAACCACCAAGCCTCTACTGCCCTCAACCTAAACCACAGATTAAAGTTTGTCCACATACATTTAATCCCTTTGACCTTATTTGATATATTATTGGTTAATCTTTAACTCACCTATATTTTGATGTTTATTTCTTGCCATAAAATAATTGCAAGGAATTTTCTATTAAATTAAACTCATTGTTGTCAACGTGCAGTTCATCATTTGGTTTTTGTTATGTTTTTCTTGAAAAAAAAAGTAACCAAACCACACACACTCACTCACACACACACACACACACACAAACTTTACACTTAACCTTATTTTTCTTGTTTCTTGACTTTTCCGGTACTGTGTGCTCTGTGTTCTGCCCTTTTTATATTCTTTAATATACTAGTGTTACTCGTTCTATTTTATAAAAAATGTAAATTGGTTTAGAGGTGAAAAGCCACTCCAATTGACCCGAGATAGTTGCGCTAAGAAAGATCGGAACAAATAATCCTTACCCTTTGTTGCCGGTCGGACTGTGTTTCCTGACGGAAGTGATGGAAACCTTGACGCACAAAATTCTGCCCCAGTGCAGCTTCACTGTCTAAACTCCCCACTTTTGTTGTGATAGTGCTTTTCTTTCTTTTATCGTTTTTTGGGGGGGTAGGCCGATGTGACGGACGCTTTGTCACAGGATGGACGCAGAATTTGCACATTTACACGGTGAGTGACTCAATTTGTTTGATTCAGGCCGCAGCGCTGCCCGCGCGCGGGAATGGATTCAGATAGATCGTCAAATATAATGTTTAAAAACGTATTCTAAGTATCACGTTTAAACACACAAGCATTCACATCGAACCCCGTGTCTTTTGACTTTAGCTGTAAACAAGGAGCTTTATAAGACGTACGGGTGAAACACGGTCGCAGCTTAAGCTAATGCTTACTTTGAGCTCCGCCATATTGGCTAATGTCTTTGCTAACGTTAGCTTTAGGAAAACAGTCTTTTACAGCATTAAACGACTGGAGACTCGTAAGAATATCCCAACAACGAAAAAATAAAAACATGTCGTATGTCAAGCTTTAAAAGACAACGTTAGAAAATACATCGTTAATATTTACGATGAGTCATTTTCATCCCACAATCCTTTGCCCAAATTAAAGGTCCTTCTGGTTTACATTTAGGTTTTTCCGTCATGTTTTAGTTTAGATCGTATCATCTTTTGTGCTTGATCGTTTGAGACGAAGTTCTGTAACAAATGAAACTATTGTGATCCCACTAGTGAATATGGGTGCTGTTAAATATAGAGTAATCTTCTTCCTCTTATTATTTTCTACCATTGTCATGGTGGAGACTCGTGACTTGAACCTGCTCTGTATTAAATAAATACAACAAAAAGCGAACCGTGAAGGAATGTGTTCATCCAACCTCCAAGTTCCTCCTTTTAAGAAGTCACTTCTCCGTTCTCCAGGCCCTGCTCTTTCACTCTCCACATTGCGACTCTTGGTTCCCCCTATTCGCCTGGTCTCTGCAGCTATATGGCAGACGTTGGAGCTGAAGATCGTGTCCGACTATGGACTGCTGGAGGAGTTTGTTTTCATGGTCACCGAGATTGTTCCTCAGCTCCTCTCTGCGAGGCAGCGGGCGGAACTTATTCTGGGCTTAAGAGCACGGGTGAGAATTTGTTTGGTTCTTCAATCTCAGACACAGTTCTTTTTTTTTATAGTTTGGTGTCTGCCTCGTCAGTACTGTTGAGGTGGGAAGTGTCCAACAACTTGAGTTGACGATACATTTATGAGCTGTTCTAACCTTTTAAACATGAACATGTTTTCACACCACAAATGAAAACCTTCATCATTATTAAGATTTTGCTTTTATGCTTCTTGTTCCGACTATTTCTAAGTTCTAGCTTCTATTTTAAAGATTGAAGTATGAGAGGATAAGGAAAGAGGAGAACCTCCTTCAGACCATGTTTTTATTATGTCCTCTGCTGTTGTCCTGCAGCTCATCCTGGAGCTGTGTCGCACCGAGGACACTGCTGACCTGCAGATCATTCAGCCACATCTGGACCGAATGCAGAGTCTCAGATCTCTGTGGGCGTCTGAGGTCAGTCTGTAACATTTAGGTGATGAACTAATTCCACAGATTCTCTCTGGTTTGTCTTCATCTGTCTCTGACCTGTGATTCCAGACTCATGATCCAGAACAGGAGGAAGCCGACTCTCACTTCATGGGCCTCGTCCAAAACTTACTCCAAGATCCTGAACAGAGAAAAAACTTTTTCCAGGTACCTGTTGCTTGTGTGTTACTGCAGTCGTCATTTAATCTTTCAAAGTAACAAAGTTGAATTATTAACACAGTTGGCTGAATCATTTTACTGTTCTTGGTTTTTCCAGGATGTCTTCCCAGAAGACTTTGGTCCCACATATGACAAAGCCATTCAGACCCTGATGTGGCTTTTTCTGTCTAGGCTTGAGAAGCTGATTCCCTCCCAAACACTCCAGCAGGTGAGTCACTCTCCACAGAGAGCTCAGTGTTTCTGAGGCTCTGAATCCATCAGCATTTTCTTCTTCTTTTGTCAGATTGCCTCATTACTCACCAACTCCTCGTCTGTTCTGAGTGAATGTATGGAAACGTTAACTCAGCCCCAGGAGCTGAAGACTCTGCTGGATTCCTATAAAGACCTGAGTCAGTTGGAAGACCTGGGTGAGTCACTCACAGATCCATGGACTGTCTTCTTTCTCCCTGCTGTAACCAAAAGTCATAATATTAGTAGATTGTGTTCACTGGCCTCGTTCAACAAACTGTGAATGTCGCTTGATCTCAGTTCTATTCTGACAACTTCCTTCATCGTTGTAGAAAAGAACTGACTGTTGTCCTGACTACAGACACTTCCAACCAAATCCTTCCGTGCACTGTAAAGATAAATGTTTATATATTATATGAATTTGAGTTGTATGTTGTTTTTTTTCCCCCCAGAATCCTGCATCGTGGACAGCAGCATCCTCTCGGCTCTCTGTCTCCCTCCCATGGATCGAGTTCTGATTGTCGGCGAACAAACGGAACCTGATGCAGAGAGCGGACTGGTCTACACCGTCTGCTCAGAGATGGAGGTGGAGTCTGAGAACAAGGAAGTGTTCGTGGAAGGAGCCGGGAACTCGGACGTGTGCGAGCAGACACAGTGGTTTGGCATCAGTGAGGACACAAAGACTGAAGTGGTCGCAGCCAGTGGGAGTGAGCTAGCCGAGGGTCAACCTGAAGGCCAGATCGGAACACTGATGATAGGGGAGGACGGTCAGGTGACAGTGCTGGATAAGGTGGAGAAAAAGCCAGGCAGGCGTGGGAGGAAGAAGAAGTGCCCTGAGAACGAAGGTTCAGGCAGAACCAAGAAGGAAGATGATCCAGATTTTGAAGTTGTGTGGCAAAGACCGGTACGGAAGAACCGGGGACTGAAGATGAAAGGTTACCTGTCACAGTGGAGGAAAACCACACGGACGCCTAGCACTGGTTCCTCCAGTGGATCCCAAACGTCAGACCAAAGCAGCGACCTGGACGAGAGAACGTGCAAAGTGTGCGGCCTGGTGGTGAGACAAGCCAAGTACCTGGACCGACACATGGTCCGACATTCGCAGGACCTTCCCGTGTCCTGTCCCGCTTGTGCCAGGGTTTTTAAAAGTCTCCGTTGTCTGCAGCAGCACAGATGTTCAGCTCAGTCCACGAAGAAGAAGCCTGGCAGAAAACCAAAGGTGAAAGAGTCCGAGGT